CGCGTACGGATATGTGAAAGTTTTGACAGGAAAATCGCTAACTCAGTCATCAGAAAAGCAGGAAAGCTGAAATTTTGAGGGAATATTCCCTGTCCAAGTACAACATAAGTATTTCAAATTCAGCTTGAGATATGCGTGGTTCTTACGTACGGGCACTTAAAAGTCTTGACAAAAAATTTCTCACTGAACAACTGGGTTACTTTTAAAGAACGACTGTTAATTGGAAATTGTACATTTAATTTGCAAAATTTATGATAATTTATGCTAGTGGCCGCAAAAGGTAGGTGAAAAGCAAAGCCATTCATGCAGTCAATGACCTGTGTACTTCAAGTCCGGTACAAAAACGCATGGTCGCCCGGGCTCGCCCCGTGCGTTACAGCCTGGGTTTTAGGAATGGAATTTTTAGGCTCCGACAGACTCGGTTTGTTCCGAGAATCTAGGAGTCAACGAAAGTTTGTTATGAATGGTAGACGATCTCTATCTTTGCTAAATTGTTACTCTTCAACTGCCGTGCAGTCCAAGTGATTTGTCAATCATCTGCATCGAGGAATGGTGATGAGGGTGAGGGAGGGAATGAGGGCAAAAATAGGGATGGGGTTGTGGGGAGGGGAGCAACTTTCCTCGTTTTTGTCCTGAGGAAATGCGAAAACTCTTCACTATGAATGGTGAGCGGGGACGTGTGGCCTGACGTTCTCTACCAATTTGTTTTCTCCTTCATCCAGCGCAGCCCATAAATACACCTCCAAGCGATTGCACTTACAACTGACAAAGCAGTAACCGATAGCTTTTCACAGGTCTGTTTCGAGTGTATCCCACAAATCTGCACTTGTTATCATTGTCGCTGCTGCTGCTGTTTTTATTGCAGTTTGCTGCGGCTGCTATTGTTGTTGTTGTTTGTTTGTTTGCTGTCCTTGCTGTCAATGCTGCTACTGTTGCTGTTGCTACTGCTGCTGCAGCTGCTACTGCAGTTGCTGTTGTTGCTGCAAACCAAAGTTTCTACGTCTTATCCTGTTTGCAAAATTAAATATTTGTTGCTGTACTGGCATGGAAGAATGTGGTGCAGAGCGAAATGGTACAGTGCGTAGTCCGGACAGTGCCGGTACAAGATAATGTGATGTAAGCGTGGTGCAGCTTCATTTACCGCATTCAGCCCCTCCCTCCCACAGTGTATCGTGAAAATTGCAGATCGTGTTCCATTGACCTCATGTACTGTTGCTGCTACTGCTGCGGCTGTTAAGCCGCCGGTCGACTGCAGAAATAAACAGGAGATTTAATCAGCGTGCCGGGGCGTTTTCGGTCTGGAAGAGCGAGCTTGGAAGCAGCAGCAGCAGAAAGGAGATTATTGGTGCCAGCGAAACACCGCTCGGAAAATAAATGATATTCATTTGCGTGCCGTGCCATTCACGTGCACCGCAACGACCCGTTCCCTGGCTTCCCCGCCTCCCGGAGCGCATGATGATGGAGTACAGCCCATTCAGCAGCAGCAGCAGCAGCA